TTCGCAGGAGGAAATGGATGACTTGTTCAGTGTTGGTTAATATAGTCAATAATGTTGCTTTTTTTTTGTCTATCTGTATTCTTATTTGTAACTAACATTATGTATAAAACGTTTATATATCGCATTTATCATATGTATTGCATATCATATATTAGTAAAATAAAAAAAATTGGTTACTTTTCAGTTTTATTTTCTTTTCATTTGATATTTTTCAAAATTAATTGCTATAATATTAAATATAGTGATTTATATTGTTATAGTTATATATCAATTTATATCGATTTATATAAATTATTATAATTGATTTCTATCAATTTCTATCATTTCGAGCTATATATCGATTTTCTTTGTTTTGGATACATATCGATTTTTATTTATTTGGCTATGTATCGATTACTATCCTTTTTGATTATATATCAATTTGTATTGTAATCATTATAAATCAGCAGAGGAGATTACAATTGATACATATCTTCATTATTAGTAATTGTTATCTAGCAGTTTATTTTTTTTGCTGATGTATAGTAGTCGTTAGATAGAAATTAGAAAGAATAGTATTACTTAAGTAGTTAGATATGTTGTTCTATTTCTTCTTTAAGTAGTATATATACAATTAGAAATATTTCTCAAAGTTTTAGGTTGAGTTCTTGGGAAGTAAGAGGAAGTGCAGATTATGGTGTAGATAAGTTAAAGTAAGATGGTGAAATCTTTGTAAAGAAATAGTATACAGCAAGTTTTCTTCTATATCTGCTAGGTTTCTGAGATCTGCTCTATTAGTAATTGGAAAGAGGTCTTATAGACAAGGGTGTAATTCACTGCAATCATCAGATAGCTTTTCTTTTTTAGTAAAGTAGATATCAGGTAGTGGTTTAAAGAAGTATAATTTGTGCAAAGAAGACATGATAGCTCTTGTTTAGCCTGGATCATCAATTGGTAGATTATAAGAAAGTAACTCTAAAATACTTTCTGATATTTTGTTTGGTGTTGCTGAAAGAGGCTGTAGTAATTCTGAAATTGCTTTATTGATATAGATCCTTATGTCTGATATGTTGAGTTTCTTTTTATACTGAATAAATCTATGACAATATTGAATCACTCTGCTTATTTCTGCTGGTGAGTTAGTAATGAAACTGTAGTTATTTAGATAATCGATCATAATTTTTTGTCTAAATTTTAAGTAGATTTGGTCTCTATTTTTTTTGGTAGTAATAGGTATATAATATATCTCTTTATATTTTTTGAAAGCTTTAGTAAAAAGGTTTTCATATTCAGTTTGGTGTGTTGGTTTTGCTTTAGTTAGTTTAGTGAAGATATGGAAGAAGAGATCAATAGCTTATCAATCATTAGTAATTTTGTTAATTGTCAATTTTTCAGACAAAGCTATTGACAAAACATTTCATTGTTGCAAAATAACTTTATTAAGCATAACATAAGCAAACTTTAAAAAAAGTTAATGTTGTCGCATAACCAGAACATTTTTGCAATTGCTAGTGTTATCATATAAACAGCATTGTGTAATAATTGAAACGAGGACAAGCAAAGTGAGGATAAAACCATAGAAAAATTGATCATAATGTTTTAATGTAACAAAAAACTCGAAATAACATGCATAGGCATTATTTTGAAAATCGTGCCCCAAAATAGTATACATTAAGACCCCCTAAATACACTACTTCACTTGGGCCAACTAATATAATACTTATAGATTTTTATCTCCCTAAATTTAATATTTCTCTAAATGTATGTTTGACTAAATTTTTCTGACTGATATAGAATAACGTCCATGTACGTCCTGAAAATAATCCGTTTGTTTTGTTTTTTAACTTTCATAATAAAATGCTTGCACATGACAACCGTAAAGTATCTTCATTATTAATCTTGAAGATTGACTAATATAATAAAAGTTCACACTTTATCGTGTAGAAACATTTGCTTAGTATTTAAATTAAAAAAATCGGTCTATTATTTCAAAATAATGCACATGGTATATTCTAAATATTGCACAGATGTCCTATATCGAGAATTTACGGCATAGATTGGTTTAAAAAGTGGCCAAAAGATATTGAAAATTGTTATATCTGTCTTCACAAACTCTGAGTCATAAACTCTGAGACAGCTTAAAAATTTTTTGATGATCGAACCCAAAGTTACTGATCAGAATTAATAAGTTGCTGATATTAACAAACACCAGAAACTTTTTATTATTTCAAAATTAAGAAACAAAGAATAAAATTTGAAGAAAGGCTGTAATGTGAATCAATTTTTATATAGAAACCCAAGACTAATCAATGTTATTTATATACTTTTATAATTAATTCAAAACACTATTCTTATATTTTATTAAAAAAGGAGTAAATTTAAAATTATTAATTAAGTAAAATTATTCTATTATAAATAATTAGTAATGGCATCTTATTTCATTGCCTATTATGTCTAATTAGCTGAAGCTGAGCAGCGAATGCGTAATTTCTAGTTATAGTCTTAAAAAAAACCCACTCCAAAAAATGGACCAAGGTGATCAAATAAATTAGGAAAGACGCTGAGTGAGCAATGCTATAAATACAATAATGTTATTATTTAAATTTTTTCATTCATCTTAAGAAAAAAACCAAGGATTAAAAAAAAATGTTTACCGGATTATCATTTCCATCACATACAAAAGATCCTTGCTTAAAATTTTTCTTACTTGGATCAGAGATCCATACTTCACCTTTCGGTTGTACCCATTTGGGACGAGGAGGAACCCTAGAAAATAAATCACCTCCTGAAACGACACGGTATATACAATCCTATTTACAAAATTTTTGACATAATTAGAAATTTAAGAGTTGAGGTTATTATACAACTAAATATAATTTTTGCCAATTTGTGATAGATTATCCGGTATCACCGCTGGATACCCAACTTTATGGTATTCTTCGATGATCCGTTATGCGAGTGCCACATAATTTTTTATTGTCAAAAGTAATTATTTTCAAATAATTAAATATTAGACTAGTAAAGTTAGCTATACACAACTTCCTGTTAAGTGAAATTCTATATTTTAATCTGCGACACTGATGCATGAAGGAAAAATCAAACTTTTAATTTATAACTTATCAAAGCCAGTCATCCTAAAATCTGATAATATTGACTCTGGTTAGACGGGTTAGATTTTTAGGATGAATCTGATAAGATATAATTTAAAAGTCTGAAAGTTAGTTTTCTTTTTTGGCAGCTCATATATATATATTGTAAGCGGAAATGAAATTTTAGTGGATTTGGAAGATTTGGAATTTATTAGCCAAATACTTTAGGATAAATTTATTTTATGCGTATAAACTCCTATACCTAGATCTAGAAATTCCAAATTTCATTCACACTTACAATTTATATACCCCAAATTAAAAAGAATATTAACACAATTCACATTAGACTTACCAATTCTTTATTAACATAATTAGCAAATAATTCATTTCCTCCACGTGGTATGTTATATCCATAAAAGCAGAGCTTAGTATTATCTGGATAATTTTGTTTAATATCTAGAGCTTGAAATAATCCTAAAGCTATAATAAAATTCGAAATATTAAAGACAGCTGAATTATAAAGTGAATAAAATAAATTAAATAAATATATATATATTTTACCTCCACCTAAACTATGACCAGTTGCTGAAACGCTAAAGCTTGGATATTTTTTCATTAAGGAAGTTAATTCGTTCGTAAGGTTTGATGAATGAAACAATTGCCAAGTGGTAAAAAATCCCTCACTAACAAGGATATCTTCGTTAGAGTTTGATGGTTGGTAACCTTTAAATTTATATTTAACTAGATTAAATGATCCTATGTCTGCTATGGTATTGGTAGGATCAGTAAAATCTGATCCTCGGAAGGTGATAACAATATCTTTAGTCTGCTTATTAACGATTATATAGGCCAGAAAATTAATAGTATCTCCGATTGGGATCTCTAAAAAATAAAATAAGCATTAACATTTACAGATATCTTGACAGTTAAAATGAATCATTAGCTTACATGATAGTGCCAAAAAGTTTTATAAAAAGAAATGACAAGAGATTTATTAATAATTTGTAAAGATGAAAGATAATTAACAATTATATGAAACACTTACGGGTTTAACTTCAATGTTTTTAGGATCTTTAGAAATGTCTTTACAGACTTTACAAGTCCAGTTCACTATATCTTGTATTGATCCATCGAATGCTAGGATAGAATAACGAGCAAATCGTTGTAGTATTTCCACTTCATCATCAGTTATAGGTCTAGTGCCATTCTTATTGAAATTAGCTCCTGTAAAGTGAACTGCGAAAAATAACAAAAAACTAATAATAAATATTTTAAAATGTTTATTCATTATTTCTATATTGTTCTAACTAAATTGATATAGCAATTCTTATTGGTTTAGCTTTTTAACATGAGTATTTTCTTTAATAATTTCGGGCTTTTTATAATATTTTATTTATAATAGTTTTTTAAATTAATCATTTGAATAACTAGCTATTTATTTAATTGCCTTTACATTTTGTAAAAGAATGTGCCAAAACAAGAAAAATCTGCTATAATTTTTGGTATATCAGAGCATCCGAAAATCATAGCACTGGAAAATTATATACATATATAGGTATATGATGCAATTCGGTAATTTTACTGTAAAGGGCCTAGAAATTTTTTCAGTAATATAATGTGGCCATAAAAATTTACATTTTAAATTCGGTGAATTTGCAGAATTGGGTTTACATGGGTTTGTAAAAAATGCACGCTGTTTAATGTAGGCTTTTATTGAATGTATAAAAATAATCTAAGGGATAATAACAATAACAATACAAAACTTTTGTTTCGTTATTGTTAATTACTCTTAAATTATATTTATACACCCGCAAACCAATTCCGAAATCCGTCGATATGGAGTTTCGTTTACAATATAAAAACAACTACAGTACTGTATTACATATATTTTCTTGTAACTCTGGCTGATCCGTAGATCCTTGGTATCTTTCTGTAAAATTTAATTAGTGCACAATGCGCATTTAAGTTCATGTGCATTTAAGTTGTACTACCTAAATTACTGGATTATCCAAGTAAATCAAAATTATGTGACGTCATGTAATGAAGTTTTAATAAATTATTTATATGATACTACATATAATTTTGTTGACCGAACACCCTAAAGGGACATTCTCCTAGAAATAACAACTATTATACCCTGGTCACTATATCAAGATCGCAGGGCATAAATCAGTTATACCCTGGGCATTATGTGTATAAGCGGGACTTTCAGCCCCGCTTATACCCAACTGCCCAGGATATAACTATTACTAATTGCGCCGAGCGTCACCTATACATGGGTGCCGAAATTATTTTTGAAAAATCGTATTTTCGGCAAACAATTCGGCATTACTAAATTTTTTATATGAAGCCCTTCGAAATAACTATATTATATGATGTATTTTGATTAAAAGAGTTCAGAAAATTTCGGCAATAATTTCGGCAAATATGAAAAATAATTTTGGCACTACATAAAACTAATTTCAGCAGCTTAATACCATAATTACTTTTTTATTACAGCTATTATTATAATTTCTGGGACATCTGCTCATTATCTGAAATCTTTTTGGTTGTTCGGTAAATTACCTAACTCTCCAGAAATTATATCACTGCCTCTGGACTGAAGGTCCAAAGACAGCGATTTAGTTTCCAGAGAGTTGAGTAATTTACCGAACAACCAAAAAGATTTTGGGTAATGATCAGGTGTCCCAGAAATTATGATAATAGCTGTAAGATGGGCAATTTCAGCATCCATGTATAGACACAATTACAACCGGATACCTGACCCACCCAGGTATACACGGGTAACCCAACCCAGGTTCATTCACTAATGATAGCGTTATTTAACTGTGTTAATGATGCTGAGATAGATGATGTTGAAATTTGTAGATTTAATAAATCAGGTTTCATAAAAGGAACCATTTTCTGAAATGTTCTTAATTAGACTCGAGTAATTTTTGCATAGCTTTATATTTTAATTAAATATTTTTTATCGTTGGTGAAATATATTGTCAGTGAATTTTTGTGTCGGTAAAGTGAGCTTGTCTGTAAATTGAACTTGTAGGTAAAATGATTTTTAGTGAATTTTTGTGTCATTAAAAATTAACTAGTCGGTAAGGTAAGCATGTTGGTAAATTAAATATTGGTGAATTAATCGTCTGTAAAAAAAGCTTGTCAGTAAAATGGGTTCGGTAAAATGTGGTGTCGTCGAAGTGAGTGTCGGTAAGTTAAAGAGCTCCTGGATCAAATACCAAACAAACTTAAACTATATAATTACTAATCTACAAATCTAGGTAAGCCATGACCACCCTAGTTGGTTTAGGCCGCAGATAAATCAGTCTGAGTTTCTTTTCTGGCTATCTTAGGATATGAAGTTTAAATTTATTTTTTTCTTTGTATAAGAGTTATATTCTCTTTTCTTGTAAGAGAGCTGTATATTCTTTGCTTTGTAAGAAAGTTAAATTAAATTTTAATAAAGACAGAGACATGGTCTCACTATTAATATTCAAAAAAAAAAAAAAAGCAAATGTGAAACTAGTACTTTGTACTTTCTATATCAATACTTCATATATCAAACAACACAATAACTGCTCCAGTAACTCAAACTCCAGACTCTTTAAACTTTGACTACTTTTATGCTAACTATGCTAAATCTTTCGGTATAGCAATCTATAAAGAACCTGACAAAATCATTGCTATCCCTACCCAATTCTGCCCGATCAGCTGTTATACTAAAAATCTAAAAAACTACTGATTAACACATTTCTTACCTGTACTACCAACTACCCAAATAGTTATTTGTCTATATAGTAGCTTTTATACTAACTTTGTATCAGATTTAAATAAAACATATAATATTCAAGTAACTGCCAGCTCTACAACATCTAACAAACAAGCAAAGAAACTTTCTTTAGCCTTGCAATCATCAATACAAATGGTACTAGCTTCTCCAACTTCTATTTCTGAACAGCACACATGTCCTAAATACTAGGCAGTTATAAGCTGCAAAAAAATTAATAATATTCATCATCTTACAAATGATGCTTTATTTTATGATAATGAGGCTTTCCACATTGACTGCCTTAAACTATTCCAAGAAGAACAAAATCAAAATACTTCATCTATCAAGACTATTAACCCTCCTGATACACTACTTTCACTTACATCAACCTCCAACAATGTACAAACAATCCAGATAGAAACAGACAAACCAATTAATCCTAAACAAACAATCTAAGAATCATCATCTTCTTCTATATAAACAACTCAAAAACTTAAGCAATCAACTTTTAATAGCCAACAAAACCAACCTAATACCAAGTCTAAATCAAATCCAGCCTTTAACTGGCTTGCAAATTACCCAATTACAAATGAAATGAAGCTTAATAAGAGGCTTCAAACAACACTTTCTCATCAACTACTTGCTTTTCTTAAAAAATTCTTATATAACACAAAGAAATTAAACCAGCAAGAGTAAACCAACAAAGCCACATAATTAGACCTGCTATGAAAGCAAACTTTCAATATCTTATTCGCATAATGGTAACAGACAAACCTAAATTTCTTACAGACCTTATCTACAAAGGAAACTCTGATATAAGCTCAGAAGCTCCAATTCTATTTACATTCTTAGAATTATTGCTTAAAAACCTTATTCTTAAATTTATTACTATACTTTTTACCAAACTCAACTACAAAGAAATCTTTGTATTAGCTATCTCTATTCCACCATATAATATGTCTTAATCTTGCATGACTACACCTCTATTTATTAAACAACTACCAAATCATTAACTACAACAATTTTGCCAAGATTTCAACTTTAGACCTAAATACTTTAAAGTTATCTCCAAAATTAAATCAACTGATGAAAACAAACCAATCTTTTCTTTTAAAACAGACTAAATATTCAATGTTACAATCCTTTTCAACCTTCCTAAAACCACATTTCTTGAAAAATTTAACATTTCCTCACTTAAAGATTCTTTTACTAACTTAGACAAATGGTTAAATCAACATACACTATATACTGTTGACAATTTTTAACATCACCAGATAAGGAAGAAACTTATAAGTGTATTAAATCACAAATTTGCAAAGAACTTGTCTTTAATTTAACAAAATTTCTTCCTGAAAAATTCAAATTCAGCAAGCCTGAAACCATATATGAATGCAAACTTCTCTTATCCAAATTCACCAATTTTTACACTCTTACTTGTACTAACAAAAACTGCGACTATAGAAAAGAAAAAGAAAACTATCTACATAACAAAGAAGCATTATATAAAGCAATTCTTGAACAATTATATAAAGCATACTGTAATATACTTGCTTGGCTTAACTAAAAATTAGATATAATAATAATAAAATATGTCGTTGCTAGTTAAGTCAAGCAAATATCTTACTTGACTTAACATATAAGAGTGGTTAAAGAATGTTTTAAACAAGAAAAACTAAAGAAAAGCCTAAACTAAAACAAAAATACTATAAAATAACTAAACAAGAAGACAAAAATAACAAGGTTTACTCAAAAATATCAATAGAAAAACAATAATTTTACTATAAAAATACAATAAAAATACTATAAACCCACTATATCTAATAGTATATGGTGGCAAGTTTTGCACTACTCTGTATAAATTTACTAAATCAAGATAAGATCATCAATTAATTGCCCCTGCAATGTTGGTTCATGTTAGATCACTACTACTTTTAGATACAGCTTGGAGAGAAGCTTTTGAATTCCTATTATCAATTTCTCTAAGCCATATAAACATAAACATAGTAGAGCTTTTTCTTAAAAATAATGTGTTAAATCTTCCAAAACCACTGTCAATAACCATCTAATCTAATAAAGGATTGATATACTAAGTCTATTTCTACTATACTATTGAACTTCCCAAAACCAATTGTTAACCTATCCAATTCAATATAAAATTAATCTATCAAGTTTGCTTCCGCTATAAAACCTGTCTAATTGATAAAAAATTAATATACGAAGTTTCTTCCATTATAAAACCTGTCTACTATATAAATCGATTTTGAAAGGTTTGACAGTATGTTTTCAAATCTGATAGCCTCTCAATACTGATACAAAACATGTCCACTATATATATCAGTATTGAGAGGTTTGACAGTATGTTTTCAAATCTGATAGCCTCTCAATACTGATACAAAACATGTCCACTAAATATATCAGTATTGAGAGGTTTGACAGTATTTATTCATCAAGAGGTACATATGTATAGTATATATCTATCTATATATATACTTTAATTTTGGGTCTGTGTGCTTTAACGTTCTTGATTG